TTACTGTGTGTGTGTGGGGGGGGGGGGGGGGGGAGCGATGAAGCAGGGCGATTAAGGGGAGAAACGGCAGCAAACAGAGGTGTCAGTAGCGGGGGGCTTTCCTGCTGGGGTTACAGCTGCTGGGGCGCAGAGCTTTGGGCTTCTGACATCCAACAGCAATGCAGTGCCAGGCAGCGTCACCACGGTGGCCTGGGACAGTCACTGTAGTTGGGGCAGAGTTGGTATGTGTGGGGATGTTTGTTACTTGACCCGCCACCCCCATCTAACTGAATGTGTAGCACAGCTGATACCCCCCCCCCCCAGTAAAGCAGGGCCAGTTCAGTTGCTTCGGCTTGTCAGATTCCTCACTCCTTTACTGCTGGCTGCGGTGTGGCATCCGGGGGGGTGTAGTCTGATGTAACCCCCCCCCAGGACTCAATTGCGCACTCATTCACTGTAAGGGAAGCTCTTTCAGCTCCGCTCATCAGCCCTGGCTGCTCTGGCTTGTTTTTCTTAGTATCAAAGCTAGGGGGTGTCATGCTTAAGGGAGTGAACTCTTTTCTGTTTTACTGGTGCGGGACAGTGGAAAAATGGGTGCCCACCCCCCACACAGGGAGGTGTCATACAGTAGAGTTTCTCAAACCCCAGATGGTCCACATTTTTCTCCCAACCCACCTGCCGGTGGACTGTCTGGCAGGGAGCTGGGAGGGAGCAAAAACATGGACTGTCTGGGGGTCCCCAAGGACTGGGTTCAGAAATACTGTCGTAGAATATCTGTGCTGTGAGGTTGTGTATGTTCGCGCTGTTATTGTATATTTACTGTTACTCTCTGAGAAATATCCTCATCTGATTTTATTTTGAAAAAATACATTATTTACCCAGTAGCATTTGCGTAGAAGTGAAAGAAAAAAATGTAACAATAGGAGAAGCGACGTGAGATACTGCCTGTTTACTTAATCATTCATTAAACAGTGAGAAACAGATGAAATCTTCCCGATGACTGATGGCACAGTTCCTCCTTCCACTGGTCACTCAATCTTATCGAAAAAAGCACTGACTGACCAGTTAAGCGACTTTAAAAAAGAGAATCTGATTGGATGAGTAGCCAGTCACTGAGTGTAAGTTCCCAGCCTATAGGGGGTGTTTATGGACAGGGTAGGTGGAGCAATCTTACAGAATGTTTCAAAACGCTGGCAGTAAAGGGTGACCTGGAGAAACTTTCAACAGACCGATGTCATGATTCATGACTCTGGTCTATTGGATAGGATGGAACGGGGGTCATTAGGATAGAATGAGGGTCTTTAGGATGGAATGGGAGTCTTTAGGGTGTATCAGGGGTCTTTTAGGGGCTGAGCCCTTGTGTGTCTTTCTGGAGAATCAGATTTATTGATGCTTATTGATTTGCATTTGCTTGAACTGTAGGAGCTTCTCCCATCTTTACCAACAAAAGAGCCCATTTTACATTCAAATACAGTCAATCTCGACTTTCAGTTTTTTGCTAAAAAGGGCTTTTAAACAAACCATGTTCGCCCGTGAGTGTGTGTTTATTATCTTTTTTAAACCTGCTACTTCCCAAGCTTAATATTGCGGATAGGAAGCACTCTCCGTTTCCCCTCCGGCTTCATTGGGGCCCATTTCACAAACTCCATCAGGGTATCTGAGGCCTGGGTGACCTGGTGTTTGTTTTAGCCCTTGCTTGAGAAAATATGGTTCTTGTCACTATACCAGAGCCCGGATCAGACGGTCCCGTCCGTCAGAGGTACAGCGGTTTCACAGAATATTTATTTGCAGAGGTGGCAATTTCAGGTCCACAAAGTAAAAATCCAGACCATGATTTACTTTCAACCAACCAGTTGAGCATAAAGAGTCACAGTCACAGAGTACTCAACTGCTTGGTTGAAGCAATATTAGCTTCAACTGCTTGGTCTGGATTTTAACTTTCTGGACCTGAAATTGCCACCTCTGTTTATTTGTCTGATAGTAAGATGACTTTTCCAGAAATTCATTCTGAATTGTTGTTAACAGAGTGAAATTCTAGGTTTACACAGATACTTTTCACCCATGCAACGCTTCCACAAAGTCCAGTTCAGATTCATGTTTTTTTATATGTTATTGTTAAAAAGTAGCATATTTTAGTAGCGCAACTTGCTCATGCTGTCTGGGGCTAATCGGAGTTCAGAAACACGACAGAGCCCAACGGAGACGGGAAGCAGTTGTACTTCTGTTAAGCAATTAGGCTGCACTGGTCCTCATGATAGACGCCAACAGAAATACCCACGATTCATCTCATTTTAATCTGATCATATTTATCGTTTAGCATTTTCAGGCAGAAGTTCTCTCTGTATCGTCTTCAGGAAGGCAGGCTTTATCTATATGGAGTTTTTGGAGCACGCATTTGAGAAAGTGTATGAAAACTGGGCAACTGTATGCTGCGTGCAGTTTAATAATATAATATAATGCGTGCAGCGTGGAGTTGGGTAGGGCACTGTCGGGTCTGGAGGTCTTCCCATGAGACCCTGCTTCCCCTGGCTGACCCCCCTTTGCCCCCTAGCTAGGATCCCCAGGATGTATGAGGTGGATGTGGCCTCGGAGCCCGGCAGCCCCACGCTCTACGGCGAATCCTCCGACACCTACTGTCCCGTGGAACGTTGGCAGAGACTTCGCACCGCCGTCCGCAAGCTCGAGTTCTGGGAGAACTTCAGCACAGAGCTCATCGGGGGAGGCTTCTTCTCCAAGGTCTACAAGGTATGGCGGTGGTGGGGGGGCTTACAATCTGCCCCTTTCTGCCTACGAGGAACATCAGTCAAAAAATGGCGCGGTGGTTAAGGAGCCGCTTCTGATGTGCTGAGTGGGCAATTGCGGAGCAGTTACTGTGTGTGTGTGGGGGGGGGGGAATGAAGCAGAAGATATTTCTGGATGAGTCCCCCAGGGAATGTGTCTCACTTCTCCTCCAGATGCCGTCTTACACTCCCTTCCCCATAAAGTTTGGAGAATAATTGACACTAGAAAGGCCAAGAAGATTCCCTTTAGTGACATGCTGCTTTTGGGCAGCAGACAAAAATCATACATCTATCATACATCTCCTGGAAATGGGCACCTTTCATCTTCCCACCCTAGACAAATGCTCACCGTTTGCATGAAGTTCCCCCTGAAATCACCTGATAGAGATGTAAAAATGATAGGATCCCAGACAGACGTCTTACGGTCCTAAAAATAAAGGATGGTAGAGGAGAGGAGACAAAAACTCCTGTAATTATATGACAAAAAAAATCTCTCAAGGTGCTCCAGGCCCTCTGGGTGCTGCCAACCGGATAGCACTCAAAAATACATGTGTGGATGTTGTTAGAAAGTTTGATGTAGCTCGTGGCATCAGATCACCCGAACCCCATTGCTGCCCATCACACTCAACCCCTCCCATGTCGTGTCACTAAAAAGCATTAGGAAAATGTCTCTGTGTCACCTGTCCAGGGTATGAAATAGGCTGACCAGCTTCTCTCTGCTAATGGCTCCATTATAAGGGCCCCGGGTGACAGTCCAGGCGGACGCCTCTGTCATAAGGGCCCCAGGTGACAGTCCAGGCGGACGCCTCTGTCATAAGGGCCCTGGGTGACAGTTCAGGGTGACAGCTCCCCCCGGGTTCATTCTGGTGTTTCTGCATCCTCATATCGCCACGGGAGCTTACTTCTCCATGGCATGGCATCATCGCCCATGTGATGTGTGTGATGGACGGCCCCAGAAGCCACACGGCTTTGCGACAGAACACCAAACAGCACTCAGCAGTGCACCAAACAGCACTCAGCGGGACTGAATGATCCATGAGAATCAGCTGCAAAGCTAACAGTGTGAGTCTGGCCAAGACACAGCTGTCATTAAGGAGTCCCAAGCAGTGTCTGTATAAAGTTACCAACAGCCAGATTACTGATGGCGCTCAGGGCTGGACGCAGAGACACTGTGAAATGTGCATCTCCTGTCAGTGTAAGAGGAGACGGAGCATGCAGGGGAAGGCTATGTGCTTTAGGCATGTTTACAGAGCAGGGAAGTTCAGGTTCAGAAAATGATTATGAGTATAAAGAGTCACAAACACAGAGGACTCAGCTGGTCACTTGAACAATATCTTGGTCTGAATTTGTATTTTCTGAACCTGAACTCTCCACCTCTACAAGTTTATATATAAAAATCCACAAGGATCTTTAAGAAAACAGCAGGCAGTGTGGCCATGTGCCTTCAGTTGCAGACAAGAGGTTTCAGGATAGAGTCCAATCAAATTAGGTGAATTTCACAGCTGAACTCTTACAGAACCAGGGCTGGGTATGGCTTCTGTATAACGATTAATTATGATCTGCTGACGGACTTTGTAAAATAATCAAGATAAGAGAAGCTGAAATTAAGCTTCTACCATGACTGCACCCATTGGCTGCTGACACACTGGCAGTGGGATCGGTGTGTCATGACACTGGTTTTCTGGACACAGTGTCCCTCCCCTTCTGGGAAAGATGTCTTCAGCATGGCACAGACACTGAGTCCCCACGTCGACCGGGAAAGGCAAAACCCTCACCGTGCCTCATGACCTGGGTAAAGCTTACACCTCCATACACCAAGATATCCACTGAAATGCATAGCAGACCCCCCACATCCAGACTGTCCTGGCAGCTTCAAACACTGTCTAGTCTGCAGCTACTCATTCTCCATCCTCCAAAGGGTTCACTGGATGGATGCTGGTTAGATATCTATTAAGAGAGTCTGTGAGGTTTTGTGACCGATGGTTTAGTTTAATGAGATGCATTCTGTATTCACACTACTTTTGTATAGTGTTTATTATTTAATTATTATTGTAAAGTGCTTATTATTATTATTATTATTATTGCTAATATTGCTATTGTTGTTGTTATTCACAGGAAGAAGAATATGTAGTACTGTTGGGTCTTTATCAGATATGTTAAAGAATTCTTATGGGTTGAATGATTAAAATACTGATATTGCGATTTTGCAATTCATTCTTTTGACATTGCACAACATGACCCTATGCTCATAGGTAATCCATGGCACCACCAAAAAGGTGATGGTGGTGAAAATCTACAAGAATGACGTGGACCAGGACAGCATTGTACGGGAGATCAGCCTGCTTCAGAAGCTCTCCCATCCAAACATTGTGAGGTGAGGTGTCATTTCATGGTGTGGCATACCTGTCAAGTTTGGGATTTGAAAATAAGGGAAATTTTCCGGCACCCACCGCGAGCCATCCCACCCCCCCAACCAAGCTCCAGTATCCCTTACATTTTAAGTCAGGTGTACAAGAAATCTAAAATAACCATTTGTCATTTACATTTTATTTTCATTACACATTTTCTTTTAATTTCTCATGTTCACTCATGTGGATCTCTGGCATTCACTAATGACTTATTATACAGATTTGTTGCAGACTTTGTATCCATGTTGAAGTCGTCACAGAAGGTGAAAGTAACATTGTTTTTGGCACACAGCATTGCCATTTTAACCTCCGCATTTATGACCTGGTTAATGTTGTAAATGACCTGCAGACTACTGCAGGTGGCAGTTCTCGTGAGGCTACTCACAGTTCAGTTTGGAGAGGCAGAGGAATTTTTTTTTTAATGATATTATAATATGGGAGATTTACGGGAAAATACTAATACGGGAGGACGGCGGGAAAGAGGGGTAAAATACGGTAGTTTCCCGGCCAAAACGGGAGACTTGACAGCTATATGGTGTGGTTTGTCAGGCATGAACACTGTTACAAAGAATTATCCCACCTCAACACCGGTCAGTGTTATTTTGCTCATACTCATATAACTGAAAGTTTTCACAGAGAATCATCTCATACTAACATTGGTCAGTGTTATTTTGTAAAATGATTGCCAGGCCTTCAGATTAAATACACGTTCATGACACCTAAATGGTGTCATAAAAAATGACTGGACTTGGGAGACTGTTTAGTGCTATCAGTATGTGAATTCGGTGTAAAAGGTTAAATCAGCTTAGGTTAAGTTTGTCGAGGTACTGTTACGTTTGCACTTTAGAGTTAATTAGGCAAGGTCATGAAAAAAGCCCTTATCACACAGTGAACAGCATATGCTGCTTACTGCTAAAGAGTTATTCATAGAAATGTGTCTGGCACTAGACCCTACGCCACACATGACAAAGCCATTTCTACAGTCTTTCCATGGTTATTCCATAGTGATTTATGGTGAATGGGTGAAATGAATGTTCATAAAAAATATTAGACTACTGTCATCCAGATCATATGCTCAGAAGCAGCATTGGATCACACAGGTACTTGTGCTGGCTATTTATTACCAGTATTAGCAAGACAATAGAGTGAAGATGTGGAACTTTGTTCTGGTAGGAAGCAAATTCATCTGTATTGGTTTGGAATTGATTAAATACATTGAGTGTTTAAAAAGCTGTCTGAGTATTGCAACTCCATGGGCTTTTGTCTGCTAGAAAAATTTATTTTCGAAGATCAAACAAAAGCAGTATGATGGGACAATCAAGCGAAAGCGAAAGAATTCAAAGTTCACATTAAAGCGTGTGATTCAAAGATGAAGTGAAGCGCTGCTTCACAGATCTCCTAAGGGTGGCATTATTCTGCCATTTATGAGAACACAAAAGTACCACAATTTAAAGACTGCACAAAAATGGCTTTTTTTTAATCACCTGAATGTGCAATAATTCAGAGGTCACACAAAGCAGTGGTACCCTGGGAGCTTCTGGAAAACCAACCCTAGAGGAAGGGTTGGGACATCATCTTTTCAGGTGGGCCACCTTCTTAGGCAGCAATATTTGCTATGGTGAACAGATCCTTGGGACACCAGGGATTTAGAGGATGGAGTGGGTGGATTTAGACGGCATTGTATTACAGCTGTGTGACGTCAACACACAGGACATCAGAACAGACCTGGGGACCTTGAATCTCCTACCTACCCTTCTTTGTCATTAATAATTAATAGCTGATAGCAGGTGAATGGACAGGCGTGTACTCTGACAATGCCCTCCTCCGTCACACTCTTAATGAATCAGTTTCTGTTTAACGTCTTCCATTATTCCATCATTGTTGGCTTTTAGGTATCTTGGAATCTGTGTTAAAGAAGATAAGCTCTACCCGATTCTGGAGGTGAGTTGTTTTTCTTTTTAAACAGTCCCAGATTAGATTAGTGAAGTGTGTGAGACCATGAAGCCATAAGGCTGATTTTGATGGTTTCTCACAGTTGTTCGGAGCCAATTGGATCAGCAGAATGTGTTGAGGAGAATTCCATTGGTTGGGGAATCTGAGAAAGCACTCTGTCCTCCAGTATGTGAGCGGGGGATGTCTGGAGGAGCTCCTGGCCAGGAAGGACGTGTCCCTGATCTGGAGGGAAAAGGTGGACTTGGCCTGTGACATCACTAGGGGAATGGTCTACCTGCATTACAAGAACATCTACCACCGGGACCTTAACTCCAAGGTAGGGCCAATGACAGTGTGCTCACTAACACTCTGGAAACCATCAAGCTGTCAGGCCATCAAGAGTCGTGAGAGAGCCCAGCCTCTGGCTCTTTGGTATTTTGTTACTGCGGATGAAATATGAGACCATACAATTATGTTTGTCTGTCAGTGGCAAGAAAACACATCTCTGACTTGACATTTTCGGCTAATTTCAGGAATAATAATGGCACTTTGTTGACCCCCGTGGGGAAATTCTCCTGTCGCCTACCCCATCTTGCTCTCCATCACACACGTGTAGGTGAGAGCGAGCTTGGCAGTGAAGGGCAGCCATCTGCAGCAGGGCCCAGGGAGCTGGGGGTTAAGGGCCTCGCTCAAGGGCCCACAGATGGAATTATTCTGCTGAGGCTGGGCTTAAACTGGCAACCTTCTGATCACAGGCACAGAGGCTTAGCCTGCCACACCCCACAACTCCCCCTAAGACTCTATATGATGGGATAAGTGTTGAAATTGATCTCCCAGCCAAAAACAGAGCGTACAGTCAATGGGGCTTTGACTCCGTGATTTGCTTCCTGAAAGAACATTCATGAAGTTAATATTACTGTGTTACTTATTCTATATTTGTGCCCCTCATTTTTTTTCTTTTAAAATTAATGGCTGAAACGTATACACAACACAGAGGACTGTGTTATCCAAAGACATATAGTATAAAGCCCCAGAGTGCCGGCATAAGGAATCGGACAAAGTCTTTTGGAAATGAGACAAGCAAACGAGACAGTGCTTGTGCATGTGCAGTGCAGTGCAGTGTGCAGTGCAGCGCTGCGGCAGCTCCCATGGCGACGGGAGCCTCCCTGGTTACCAGGGTAGGCAGAAGCTCTCGCCGAGCCTCCCGATGCCAGAGCCGATGGGGGTACTAGGAAAAGGTCAGCCTTTTGTCATGCTGATGGGAGCGGCGCTGAATGGGGGGGGGGGTCAGCTCTGGGCCGCC